AGCAGGAGCTTGCTCAGGACGGGTCGGACATCCGCCACGTCTGAAATGCTCTTCATCAGCCTCACCTGAGCCAGAGGGACCGACACATAGGGACGGACACCCCGGTGCAGGGGACCCCGCGCCCCTCCCAGCCCGGGGCGGCGCTGTGCTGCTTGTGGGGGGCTGGAGGAGGAATGAGGGAGCTCGTTCAAAACATTTACTTCCTGTGAAACGTGGTCACTTAGGGAGCTTTCCTGAGAGCTACCCTGGGAGACCCGACTGACCCAGAACAACCAGCGTCCCCTCCACCTGGCACCTGCTCCATCCCGCTGAAGGTCTCCTGCAGGTCCCCCGCGGGTGTCAGGGTCCTGCTCGCTCGGATGGATGCGTACAGGTGTCCTGAGTCTGGGACCCCGTTGGACAGGTCCTGAGCGGCCATCTTGACCAGTACTCTGAAATACTGTTCTTCTTCGAAGCGCGGGCTATGGATACAGAGCGTGCTAAGCTCCCGGAGACCCGTCCAGACCCCCCCAGACGCCTTGCATGTCGCGGAAAGCTTGTCAGATGTTGCAAGCCAAGGAATGCCCAGGAAGCCAGCAGCCTGCGAGACCACGGCCGCCCGCCCAACTTGCGCCCAGGGCCAGCGTCTCCATGCTCCTAGTCACCTGTTGAATATCTCACCCCACAGGTGCATCATGTCCTGCAGGTTCCGATCCAGACAGAACGATGAAAATAGCACACCCTGGACCCGGGAAGAAAAAGGAAGAAATGAATTATGACAATTTAAAAGGAAAATACAGACACCGAAGACAGCCCTCTGAGCGGCCCGCGACAGCAATGCCACCTGCTCATAGGTGTCCAGGTGCGAGCTGTCGGGGAGCACGTGTGGCGACACGGTGATGCCGCCCGTCTTCAGCTCTATCTGCTGAGCCTGTTCCCGGTAGTCGAGGACGCCGCAGCCCAGCCTGGGGACAGGAGAGAGGGCTCCGAGTCACGGCTGCATGAGGTAACCCCAGGAGTGCAGCCCGCCCCCCCATGCACACGGCAGGCCGTCCGCCTGGCCCTCCCCAGAGACCAGGGTGTCCTGCCCAGGGGTCCTCAGCACGTCCCGACCCCCGAGCCGCCGCCCCAGGGCCGGCTGTCAGATGCCTCCGGAGACTCCCCTCGTCCGTCCAGTCAGAGCATCTGACACAGACCACCTGCTCGCTTATTTGGTAGTCTCGGGGCGACATTTGGACAAGCCTTTCTGCATTTTTAAGAAAGCCAAAGGTCACACCAGCGCGGATGAGGCTTCGGTAGGGTCTTCTGCAGCTCCCGGTGAGAACGGAGTCAGGCCGAGGCATGTGACGGCCCAGACATCTGCTACTGGGGCCGAAAGGGACCACGATGCCAGCGTGGCGGTAGAGGCAGGCGCCACGGCTGTGAGCCACCCTGGGCCCACGGGGCAGGTTCCGTACATGGGTGCCCTGACGCACAACCGCCACCGTCACAGCCTTAGAGACCCGTCTCGCGGGAGACACCTCGTCACCTGACACGCGCGGCTCAGAGTGCTGCGAGGCTGTGTCTCAGTAAGAAAGCGCGACTGTCACGAGCAACGTCTCGCACACACACTGCCCTTGTGCACCGGGACGCAGCGAAGCGAGACGCCGACGGTGGTGCTGGACGCGCCCCACGCCGTGCAGAGCGCACCCCACTGCAGATGCCACGCCGCCCCGGGCCTTACTTGGTGAGGACCCTGCAGAGGAGTGGCACGTAGGGCCGGAGCTCGGCAGGCAGGGCAGGCAGGCTGCAGAAGGCCCGGACGTAGGCCACGCCGTTGGTGGGCTGCACACACGACTGCACCGCGACGTCGCCAGCTGCGGGGACAGGGCGGGGCCTTCAGACTCTCCCCAGCTGTGGCTGCCCTGGTGCGGGGTTTAACCGGGCTGACGCTCTGCGGGGGGAGGCTTCGCATTTCTGGCAGCTGCGCCTTAGACACCCTTCCCGGCTGCGCCCTGGTCCCAGGGAGGTGGACAGTCCTCGTGCTGAGGGACAACAGCCACCCGCCATGCAGGCTGCTGTGCACCCTACACCCCTGCTCCTGAGAAAGGTGACTCCACACGTCACCCCGCCCGATGATACTCATGTGCCCCGACAAGACCCCCCGGTCCTGACGGCCACCGTGCAGCCCTGGCACAGAGTGTCTGTGCCCTGCTGGCACCCCGGCCGCCTCAAGGGGAGGCTCTGTGCACTGCATCTTCACACCCCGGCCCAGCATCCCAAGGCAGCAGAGGGCCCGAGGCCTGTCACAGACTCTAACGACCACTGACAGACCCCGCCTGTCAGTGGGAGGTCGAAGGGTCAGCGGGACTCGCCCCAGCTGAGGTGAGGGGGACGCCCGTGACCCAGCAGTGGGGGAGGGGCGCCTCTCGGGGCAGCAAGCTGCGCAGCACTTCTGAGTGGCACTAGGTGTCTGGGTCAGGGAGGGCGGCTATCTAACCCCTCGGGGCCCCGCTGTGCCTGATGGGGACACTGTCCCGAGAGGCCCCATGCCTCCCACCAGAAGCCAGCACCAGCAGTGACGCTGGGGAGGACCTCTGGGACCAAACACGAGATGCCAGCGTCTACAGCTCCCTTCCATCCCCCGGCCTCGCAGGAGGCGCCGTGTAGCCTTCCTGGGCCCCTCCAGCTGTGTCACCTGTCCTAGTGATGAGCTGGGCGTGTGGCCGGGAATCCAAGGGCACCTGTGTCCTTTGAGAGCCAGCTGCACCTCATGCAGCCACAGCAGCATCCAGGCCCGGACTCCACAGTGTGGGTCACAGGGCCTGTCACAGTGCTCAGAGCAAAGGACACCCCCACCCACGCCAGGGAGAAGCCCGCTGTCGCTGAGCGCGCCGTCTCAGGAATCGTGAGGGCAGGCAGACGTGGGAAACAGTGGCTTCGTCTGCGGCCAGGCACCGCAGCTGCACAGCCCTGCCCTGCCAGGGCCACCGCCAGCTCCGTGCAGGGCGTGCTGGGCTCGATGTCCGACACCTTCAGCGCTGGCAGACAGGATGCATCCTGAGCCTCGCTCTGCTGAGTCTGCAACTGCAGCCCTAGGAAGAAGGGGGATGGGAAGGCGGGAGGCCCAGGGCACGTCATCCCCGGTCACTTCCTGTCACCTCCTGTCACTGAGGCGGCAAGGCACTGCCTGCCCAAGCGGTGCACATACAGCGCAGGGCGTGAGCGCCCCCAGTGACCGCGGAGTGGTCGGCGCCACCTCCGGGTGCCCTGGGGAGATGTGACTTGCTTTTCAGGCTAGCGAACCTTTTCTTGCTGGACTGAAGTTCAGCAACTTCTGTTACTACTTATTTCATATTCACTGATCTCGATAAAATGCTTGTATAATCATGTTTCACGAGTCATAAAAATGCTCGCACGCCCACGTTTGGGGCCTGCTCCACCGCTGTGACTGGAGTAGGGGGCCCCGTGCCCGCCTCCGCGCAGACCACCCACTCAGCAGGGAGGGCCCATGGCTCCGGGGGATCGGCCACAGCAGAGTGGCATGCAAGTCAAAGCACCGTCAAGCACGCACCTGCGTCACCACACACAGCAGCGCCCAGGGTCTGACAGGCTGCCCTGACCGCACGTCAATGTCCCCAGGTGACCACGGGCCTGGCCCCTCACACAGACGTGGGATTCAGGGCAGGCTGAACTGGCCCTGGCGCACGTCACACTCAAGCCTCTGGCGTTCATAGCCCTTGTCACCTGGTCATCAGCCCCACAAGTGTGCCGACCCTCACCCCTTACATTCTCTAATGCCGTGTGACCCGAAGATGCCGCGGCCTCCTGACAGTCCACGGGGCCACCCCCTTCGCCCTCTGCAACACCCGCCCCTCTGTGAATGCACGGGAACCCGGCATCGTCTCTTCCCTGGCCGGGCCACGGCCTCCAGATGGCAGGGCCAGTCCCCACACACCCCAACGAGGAGGTGCTCTGGGACATGGAACATGCTAGAAACCCCCATCCGCTTCCCCACTGGAGCTGCCCTGCGCTCTGGACTCTGGTTCCCTCCCGGCCTGCGGGAGCCACCAAGCGCACAGCCCTGTGTGCCGCCCACGGAAAACACCTCCCTAACATGCCCTCCAGCCAGTCGCTCGAGGTGCAGCCTGGTCGCCCGGGGAGCCAGGGCTTGAGCGTGGCACCATCTCCTGCACACGGCGTCACTTAGGAAGGGGAGCTGACCATGTCTGTGCCTGGGCTGCTGCAAACGGGGGTGCACGCACATGGGGTGTGCGCGTCCATAAACCCGTCTGGTGTTCTCTGGGTGAATTCCCAGAAGACGCGTGGCCGGGTGGCACGGTAGCTCTGCTGCCCAGTGTTAGGGACCCCACCGCGGTTTCCATGTGTGGCCGGGCGGCACGGTAGCTCTGCTGCCCAGTGTTAGGGACCCCACCGCGGTTTCCGTGCGTGGCCAGGCGGCACGGTAGCTCTGCTGCTCAGTGTTAGGGACCCCACCGCGGTTTCCGTACTGGCTACGGCAGCTTAACTGCTGTTGGCAACAATAAGGATGAGTCTCGAGAGTCTCGCCCTACATGACGTAAGTCAGGATAGGACGAAAACCGTGCGATTTCACGCGTATGCGGAACATAAAAAAAGTAACAAATGAACGAACAAAAAGACACAGACACAAAGATTGGTGGTTTTCAGGGATGGGAGTTTGGGGGAGAACAAAGGGGGTCAAATATATAATAACGGACAGAAACTAGACTTGGGTGGTGAGCACGTGATAGACTACACAGATGGCAAACTGTACAGCTGTATCCCTGTACATAATGTTACATAATGTTATTAACCAGTGTGTCTCAATACATTTAATTTAAAAATACCTTCTATAACAATAGCAAAACAAACCCAAAGCAACCCAACAGGAAATAGTGGGGCTCCATCAAACTAAAAAGCTTGTACACAGTAAAGAAAACCATCCACAAGATGAGAAAGCAACTTATAGAATGGGAGGACATATTTACAAATTACATATCATAGAAGGGATTACTATCCAAACTAAGAATCCATACAACTCAATACCAAAAAACAAACATTCCAATTAAAAGATGGACAGAACACCTCAATAGACATTTCTCCAAAGAGGACACACAGATGGCCAACAGACATGAAAAGATGCTCAACATCACTAATAACCAGGGAAACACAAAATCACAATGAGACATCACCTCACACCTGTCAGATTGGTCATAAATCAGCAAACAGGTCTTGGTGAAGATGTGGAGAAAAGGCAGCCCTCGTGCGCTGTGGGAGTGGAGCTGTGTGCAGCTACTACGGAAAACGGTATGGAGGTTCCTCAAAAATTAAAATCAGAACTACTTTATGACCCAGCAATTTAACTTCAGGATAGTTATCCGAATAACATGAGAATACTAACTTGAAAAATATGCACTCCTATGTCCGTTACAGCATTATTTACTATAGACAAGATGTGGAAGCAACGTAAGTGTCCATCAGTTGATGAATGAAGAAAATACGGTATATGATCACACCAAAATCACAACCGAGCCACAGAACCACCACCCTCGAGAACCACCTAAAGACTAGCTGAACAGAATCCTATAACTAAGGACACTCAGAGCAGCCATGTCGAGACTGGCAGGAGAACAGAGACGCAGAGAGGGCAGGTCCCACTTCACACCATGTGCAGTGATTAAGAATCGGGAGGGACATTATGGCTGAGGAGGGCCCCCAGAGTGAGGGGTCCCAGCCCCACATATCAGGCCCTCCACTCAGGGCTCCAGGACTGGGAAGAGGAGTCCCCATACCACCTGGCTGTGAAACCAGCGGGGACTCTGTTCCGGTGAGCTGGAGGGCTGCAGGAGACCGGAGTGTCCCCTCGAAGGGCCATGCACAGCCTCATTCGCTCTAGGCTCCAGTGTGGGGGCGCCAGCTCGACGAGCGCCAGGGACAGATGAGGAAGAGCTGGACCGTCTGGCTCCAGGGGGAGGGCTGGAGGGGCAGGGGCAGGCAGCTCTCTTGAGGATGGATGTGCTGGCCGGCGCCATTGTTCCTTTGTGGAGTCTTCCCCCGACCCAGCTGGCAGGCGCAGGCGGGCGCCTAATCTGAGTCTCTATTGACCTGACTACCACCATTTATTTGCCCCACTCTGGTGATGCCGAGACCTTGTCCCTCCCAACTCATGTGCCCTGCCCAAGCTGCTTCCAGGGGCTTTTCCACAGAAACAGCCAGCCTTGGCTTATGCTTTGGACCCACCAAAATCTCTCAAAACAAAGGTCCACAAACTCCTAACAAGGAGTGTCTGGCTTTGTCCTGTACCTCTTGCTAAGTGTCCCCGAGCCCAGCACAAGTGGCAACCGGTCTCAGCTCACATTGTGACTCCCATCAGGTGGCCCCAATCCTGGCATAAGCTGTGGCCAGTGTTGGCCTGGAACGTAGCTTCAACTAAGTGGCCACAAACCTGGCACAAGAGGTGGCTGACGTAGCTCGCATCATGGTACCCACCAAGGTTCCTGTCCAGCACGAGTGACAGCCGGCCTCAGCTCACAGTGTGGCCTCTCCCAAGCACCTCCAAGGCCAGCACAAGTGGCAACCAAATGCCGGGTGGCCCTAAGCCAGGTGCGAACGGCGGCTGACCTTGGCCTACACTGGAGCCCTTCCCAGGAAGCTCCAGACCCAACACACCCCGGGGGCTGGCTTCAGACCACACCAGAGCACCACCCAACCAGCTCTACAAATGACACACCCCAGGGGCGACTCGCCAGGCACCAGATCCCCGCTAAAGTGACTAGTATTCTCTGAGGTCACCCCCACACAATGGCCTGTCCACTGCAGTCACAGCCAGCCCTCACAGACAGTCAGTCCCACCCACTGATGGGCCACCAGCAACTCAACTGCAACAGGAGAGCACATAACCCACACAAGGTCCACCCCTGGAGCACTCAGCTCAGGTGACCAGGAAGACTGTGCCACAGGGCCACCCTTCCAAGACTGGGAGACGTAGCAGCCCTACCTAATGCACAGAAATAGACACAAGGAGGCGGCCAGCATGGGGGGACAAAGACGCCTGTCCCAAAGGAAAGAGGACACAACTCCAGAAAAAGAACACGACGAAATGGAGCCGACCTACCAGATGCAGAGCTCAAAGCACTGGTGATGAGGATGCTCGACGAATTTAGGGGCAGAGCAGATGAACTCAGTGTGAACTTCAACAAAGAGACAGGAAATGTCAAAACGGAGACAGAAAACATAAAAAGGAGTCAGTGAGAAGTGAGTGAAATCACTGCAGTGAAGAATACTTTAGAGGGAGTCGACAGATCCGGCGAAGCGCAGGGGTGAGTGATCTAGCGGACAAGGCGGCGGAAACGCCCGATCAGAACGGCAGCGAGAAAAACGCTTTCTTTCCGTTTAGGAAAACGAAGTGCCGTCTGCTGCCAGCGTCCGTTTCCCATCAAGCACAGGGATCCTGCAAAGCCCTAAGGTCCGGTTTTCTAGGGATTTGACAGCTAAAAACAGAATGCTATAAATAGAATAACGCCATGTGTTTCCAAAGCCTGGATGAACCAGAGCGACGTGCGAATGAGGGTGAGAGCGAGCCATTTCATGCAAGCGAGCTCTGGGGCAAAGGCTAGGACTTCAGTCCACGACTGTTCTCCGGGCAGACGCCACAGCTGTAAGCGCCGCTGGCGAGTGTTCTTCAGCAAAAGAGAGACGGATTAAAAAATGAGGCTAGATTAAGGGGCCTCTGGGACGACATCAAGCATAACAACATTCACATCGTGGGGACACCAGAAGGAGAAGAGAGCGAGCGAGGAACTGAAAACCTGTTTCAAGAAATAATGACAGAAAACTTCCCTCACCCGGTGGAGGAAACAGACACACAGCCCAGGGAGCACAGAGCCCCCCACGAGATGAACAAGAAGCCCTCAGCAGGACACGTCATTAGAATGCCCAAGGTCAAAGACAAAGAGGGAACCTTCCAAGCAAGAGAAGGGCAGTTAGTTACCCGCAGGGGCACTCCCCTAAGACTGTCAGCTGATTCCTCCGCAGAAACTCCGCAGGCCCGAGCGACCGGCACGAAGTATCCAGT